GCACCATTTTAATTTTGTCAGCAATGAAGCTGAGGTTTAGGCAAATGCCGTGATTTGCTCTACATTTGGGAAGACAAAGGGGGCTCAATGCTCCCTCTTTCTTCCTTTCCAGCATCCCCCAAAAGTCCCTGATGTGCAAGAAGGTCAGGACTTGGGCATTTCAGGTCTCTCTTTCTTGTGTTGCCCGGTGTGCTTCACTCCACTCCGCGACTTTTGAAACACATGGCTCTGTCTGCTGTGCAGAGATATTTGGTTTACTTCAGGGAAGCTTGGCATCCTATGAAGTTATCATTTTTGCTTGCAAGTCTGATGTGTTTGTCAAGAAGATGCTTTTTAAAAATAATTTAATCTCTTGTGTTTGCCTTCAAGCATGGGGAAACATGAATATGAATCCAGTTTAGTGATGAATCATCAGCTCAGCATAAACCTTGATTTGACTGACTCACCCAAGTGTGTGACTCACTTATTGTTGGATTCATATTGTTTAAAGATGGATTTCCATGGCCTCTGGAGGTGCTGTTTTCTTCTAAATGTTTCAAAACCATTGTTTATACTTAAGAAAATTAAAAAGCCAATACAAATAGTTAATAGTGAAGTATTGCTATAGCATGTATGTATACATTAACTCTGGCAGAGAGAAAAGCTGTCGTTTTTAAGGTTCTTGATGTTTACTTGAAGTAGAGTAAGCCCCTCATCTGGACTAGATCAATTACAGATATGTGTTCCTTCTTGACAAAATATGATTGATTGCATGAACGACCATCTCCAGGATATATATTTTGAGTTGTTTCCCAACAGTATGGATGAATTTGAATGTTAGTTCATTTCTCCCTCTTTTGGGGCCACCTGTCACTCTATGAAGATACAGAATATGAGCATTTTTAAAGTTCAAATTCCTTAGGCTTATTTCTTGAGTTTTGGCTCAAATTACAGGGATTATAGTAGTCCTCAATGCCTGAGAGCATTTTATTCTTTTCTCTTTTTTTTTTAGATATAAACAAACTAAATTCCATGTTTCCTGGGTTCTGAATTCAGTGAGACACCACTCCACTGCCTGATGTTCTTTCTAGCACAGGTGAGACGTAGGTGTCCAGTCAGACTCATTTGCTTCACCTGTGGAACTGCTCAGGACATTGCTCTTTAGAACAAGGATTATCTCTTACCTTGGTGATTACTCAGTGCATCAAGAAGGTGTCTTTTCACCAACAAAATGGTATGACGACTGAAATCAGTCTAAGTCAAAGCATCCAAGGCAATATGCTGATAATGTTAACAGCATCCATTAAATGACCAGGAAGATTATTTTCTTGGGACAATCCATGTGGTAGACGATATTTTAAAGGATTGCCTGAGCCTGGGGCTTTGAGACTAGCCTGGTCAACTTGGAGAGACCTCATCTCTACATAAATCACAAAAAAAACTAGCCGGGCATAGCGCTGTGCATCTGTAGTTCCAGCTACTTGGAAGGCGGAGGCGGAAATCACCCAAGCCCAACAGGTTGTGGCTGCGGTAGCAGTGAGTGTGCCACTGCACTCTAGCATGAGTGACAAGAGTGAGATTCCAACTCAAAAAAAAAAAAAAAAAAAAAATAACATACCTGAACTTTTCACCGGGAGCATTAGTCCCTGGGCACTGCTAAAGGAGGGAGGGAAGGGGGCTAGGGGCATAAAACCATCCCCTGAGTACCATGTCCACTACAGGAAGAGAGAGGGCTCAGTAGAAGGCCAAACCTCTCCTTCTTGCAATTTATTTATGTAACAAATTTTCACATGTGCCCCACAACTCTGAAATTAGAAAAAAAATAAACAAAAATACCTGAACTTTCCAAATGTTCGTGATGCGGAGGAAATTAAATTAATTTGGGAATCTAAAATAAGCACCTTAATGAAGTTGTGCAAAACATTTACTGTCTCTAATATAATTGGAAAACAAAATCTCTAAATTATACAGAAAGCTCATTTTAACTTGTCTACTCTCTTACATACCATTTCACAGTGCTAATAAAAACTGTGGAAGTGATTGGTTTGATTTTTATTTCCTTTTCGTGGCTAAACTTTAATTGGTAAAGATGCAATTGATCTGCAAAATGTTTAAAAGGACTGTAGTAGTTATGCAAGGAGCCTACTTTTTTAAAAAAAGTATAATTTAGAGTTTATCTGAAAGTGTTGAATGCAAAAGATTTGGCAGACATCATCAAACCAACTTAATGTAAATAATTTGCAAATAACAGTAAGTCTGCTAAAACAATCTGGAAACTTAAAAAAAAAATCTGCTTAAGACATACATAACTATATACACCAGTAGATATCTTTCATTTTCCCAAAATGTTTTGTGATGTATTTGTCTTCTGATTTTAGTGACAGGGTCTCTTAAGTGCACATAACAGAAAACCAATACAAACTTGCAAGGCAGAAAAGGAAATGTGTTAAGTCCAGGGACCCAAGTGTTGTTTTCAGGATTCTGTCTCTTTCTGTCTTGCATCTCCTGACTTTTTACATATTGGCCTCATATTTCTCTATTGCAGATGGCTTATTTCTATGATTAGGAATGATGACTGTAGGCAGCTCAGGTTTCATTGTTCTTATGACTTATCATCTTTGAGAAAGAAAGGCCCTTTGTTTACATTTCATTTACTGTTTTGCAAACCTACGTAAGAAATCTCAGCAAAGACTAGACTGATCCTGGCATACTCTGGACTCCTCCAGTGGAGATAGGAGAGGGCAGGGTTAGCCTCGTTGAAACCACATAAACTGCAGTCCTTTTAGGAAAGAAGCGTGCTTGTTTCTGGAAGAGAAGGGCCTGCTGGATGCAGGAAATACAGCACCTGTCCACTGTTTGGTCATTTTATTGTCATTTTTTAAAGTCATAAATTTAGCAACAAATCTGTCTTGTCTATAGAGTGATTTCTACATGGGTTTTGGGTTGTGTGTGCCTGCATGTTTTTGTTTTGTTTTATTTTAGATCTATGATTGCATTCTTTAAAGAAAAATTCAGTTTCTACTGGGAAATATATTCATCTAAATCCTGAACTCAGCTTGTCCCCAGACTTTATTCTTGGCATTGCTTTGGAAGCTCTGAACTGGAAACAGTCTGGTAAATATCCACATAGAGACTGAGAAGAAAGAAGCGTGGATATAGTGTGCGAAGGGGAATAAAAATACAGTGTTGATTTTATAACACTACCTTTAAAAAAAACCCTAAATGTGGGCAAATTATTCTTCTCTACTACTGCATAAAATGCATGTATGAGCTATTTTTTTTAACCAGCTATATAAGCAACCTTTAGAAACATTATACAAATTTTTTATTTAGCATCAGGATATTTTGGGACTCTGAGGAAGGTACTCTTCATAGGCAGAAACTAAATGTGTTATGAGGGCTTAATAAAGGGAAATTTCCTGATAATTGTGGCAGGGAAGTTAGAATGAGGAATTTGTTAGGGACTATAAGAACTCTTGAAAATACCTTGTCCCCTGGAAGAGGGGGGTGGCTTTGCCAGGCTGGTAGTGGCAAACATGAAATGAGATTATTGAACGATACCAGGGAAAACCTAGAATGTTTGGCTTGAAATAAAATAAAAAATTATTATTGATTTAAAAATGCCTGTTTGAAAATTCAGGTTGAACTCCTCTGAGCTCACATAAGTAATTGGAAGCACCAAGCTCAATTGCACACCCTGATCTATATTTTATTACTCTTAAAAGGGAATGGTCTTGGAATACAAAAAAAGAAAGCGTGATGGCCTTGCACATACAGTGTGCCCACGTGACAGCGGTAGAGGAATTGCAGGACAATGAGGACATGTAGGAAGGGTGGAGAGGGTTACAATACAATGCCGCATTTGTCCATAACGGTGCCTAATTGCGTATAAGAAATTATGCCAGGAACTTAACTTCAAGTTTTGTAAAACAACGAAAAAAATTTATAAGGAAAATACTGGAAAGACAAACCTATTTTTTAAAAAAATTGCGTACATTTTATCAGTTCCCAAACCTTAAGATAACCTCAGTAGATGAGCAGAAACTCCTTTGAGAGACAATCCAGAGTATTGAGAATAAATCTCCACCAGTCACTTTCTGTAAAATAGAAGAAAACTTGAAAAAGTGAGGGCAGACAGACTATCGAACCAATGAGGTTGTTGGAAACTCAGTGACATAAAAAGTCTGTTCATCAGGATTTGCACCTGACCTTGAGGAAGGAAGAACTGTGTTCCTCTTCCATTTAATCTTGATGGCCCTGTTCAAGACCCCCATCTCCACTTGAAATGTGGCTTCAGCACCAATCTCTGTGAGACTGCCTGCTAGCTTCCAACCCAATATCCATTTTCCTTGTCTTTCTAAGTAAAATAATCAACTTTTAGCCGGGCTCGGTGGCTCAGCTTGTAATCCCGCGCCTTCGGAGGCTGAGGTGAGTGGTTTGTCTGAGCCCAAGGGTTCGAGACCCACCTGGGCAACTTGGTGAGACCTCATCTCTACAATAAATCAAAAATTAGCCGGGCATGGTAGCACGTGCCTGTAGTTCCAGCTACTTGGAAGGCTGAGGTGGAAGGATTGCCAGAGCCTCAGCAGGTCAAGGCTGCAGTGGCCGGGAATGGCCACTTCACTCCAGTCTGGGTGACAGAGTGAGACTCCAAGTCAAAAAAAAAAAAAAAATCAACTTTTAGCCATGTGTGGTAGTGTGCACCTGTAGTTCTAGTTTCTTGGAAGGCTGAGGCAGAAGGATTGCCTGAGCCTAGCAGGTCGAGGCTGCGGTGGCCATGAGCATGCCAATGCACTCCAGCCTGGGTGACAGAGTGAGACTCCAACTAAAAAAAAAAAAAATCAATTTTATTCCAGAAGGCAATGTGCTCAGCTATAAGACTTCATTTTCTAGTTTTGAGAGTAGAGACAGGCAATGAGATCAAGTGCAAGTCATTGGGTAGGATTCCTGGGAAGCATTTAAATGGGCAAAATTACTGAATGGCACATTTTTTTCACTTCTCTGCTTTTTCTTTTTTCTAGCTGGGAACCTGGATGTGATCGCTTGAACGCCATAGCCATTTCTGATGATTAGGGAAACTTGAATATGGAAGATGCACTAATGAGGAGAAGCAGCAAGGTGGAAGAGGCCTGTGTTTCTATGACCCTGGAGCAGCAACATCTGACCTTTGTCTATGTTGATCACTTCTGAATCCTCAGGATATACAACAATGTCAATTACATAATTGTTGCTCATTAATTTTTGAATGGCCAAATAAATAAATGATGTGTACTCTCCCGGACTTCCTCCAATCTTCTGTAGCTGGTTCTGTGCCATCCTATATATTTGATGAGGTTTACTTCCCAGTTCTACCAATCTCTCCTTGAATTTAACTTTTGCATCTTAGTTTTGACTCAGCTTTGAACTTCTTTACTTCACTGTCCTATTATCACTTGGAATATGCCATATGAGATCTGACATTTAGGTTCATGAACCATCCTAGAAAAAGTCCACTTGTCAAAGAAATTTTGGAACTCTTTTTTTCTGGAATGGCCATCAGAGCTGTCATTATTATTTGTTGAGTTCTGACAATTAAGTTTGCATACTTTCCACCGTGTGCTTACATTGGCAGCGCTGTACAAATAACTGTATTGGAACACCCTTCCTACTCAGCTGATTTGGCCCCCAATGACTTTTTTCTTTACCCAAAGATAAAGTAAACATTGAGAGGAAGATATTTGATGACATTCAGAACATCAAGGGTAATATGACTAAAGCTCTGATGGCCATTCCAGAAAAAGAATTCCAAAGTTGCTTTGATGGGGGGACTAGGTGCTGATATCAGTGTGTAGTTTCCCAAGAGGAGTACTTTGAAAGTGACCATAGTGATATTCAGCAATGAGGTATGTAGCACTTTTTCTAGGATGAGTTGGCAAACTTAATTGTTGGACCTCATATGCCTGGACTTACACTTTTATTTAAATGACATATAATTTTAGAAAAAGCCAGGCATCTTAGGAAAGGTCACCACAATTTGATTTATTTCTAGACTAGAAAAAAATTCTAAACATTCTGTCTTAAAAGCAATTTTCAAATATACAAGTAAATTTGTTTTTCAGAAAAGGTGTCAGACAAGTTTTCATTTTGTACTGAAACTAAAATAAGAGGAATAAAATATTTAAAAGAATTTAAAAATAAGTTCTAACTATACTACTTTCACCTGATGGTAGACCCATTTCGTTTGGCTGTAAACTTGGGCCTGCCTATCAGCTACTCTTTTTCAACATGGGAGCAAAATTGAAGCAGTCAATATTTCTGATTCTCAAATGTGTGCCTTGCTTGGTAGACTGGCTACAGAAAACTGGGTTTCATGAGACATTTCTACCAGGATGTTTCCGAAATATTATTTTAAGTATGTAATCATGGTAAAAGTATTCATATATTTCTTCAATAAACTTATTAAGCACCTATTACATGTGAGGTGTTGGGAGTAGATGCTAGGTTTACAGTGGTAAACTAAACACATATGGGTCTCTCCCTTCATGGTTCTTAAAGACTATTGGGAAAGCTATACATTAAACAATCACACACAAGTTACACATTGTGGTAGCTACCATAAGAGAAAAGAACAGGGTGCTATTGAGCCATCAAAGAAGGCCTCTCTGATATTTGAATTAAGACCTGAAAGATGAGAACTATTTAGCTAGGAAAATGATTGAAGGAAGCGTATTCCTTACAGAGGAAAAAAATGTGCAAATGTGTTAGGCAGAAATAGCTGAAGAGCATCAAGGAAGTCAAAAGCAGTCTTGGGGTGTAGAAAGTCAGGAGAATGCTTGCTACAGTTAGGTGGGAGAAATGGGCAGGACCAGATTATGCAAGGTTCTGTGTGCCATATTGTATCTGTGGTCTACAGCTGCTAGCAAACTATCCTAAATTTCAGTGGCTTAAAAGAACAATCATTTGTTTGCTCATGATTCCACAGATCAGCAATTTGGACTGAGTTCATCTGTGTGGTTTTCTGCTGATCTTGTTTGGGCCCACTCAGACAGTTGCACTCAACTGGTGACTGTAATAGCTGAGTTGATGAGGCCTCCTTCTTGATGTTGTCTTTCTTTGCCTTAGGAGGCTAGCCCGGGCTTCTTGACATGGCAAATTCAGGGCCGCAAAAGGGTCAGAGGAAGAGCAAGGCTTCTCGTGGCTTTCCTTGGAAGCTGTATGTGTTACTCTACCTCATTCTATTTATTAGTCAAAAAAAAGTCGCAGGGCCACTCCAGATTCAAGATGTGAAGAAATAAATTACAGTTCCTGATAGAAGAAGGTTCAAAGAATTTGTGGCCATTTTTAATCCCCTAGACTCATTAAGATGTATGAAATGTACGTATAAGGAAAAGCAATGCAAAGCCTTTAAACAATGAAGTGGTATCCAGTTTATGTGTGGTGTTAACTCTTTCTCCCTCCAGCCCCATTCATGTCCTGGCTTTTGAGATTAACAAGTCTGGGTACTGAGGGGGAGTGGAAAGGACTCAGTATATATGCCATAACTTTGAGGGAATATATGAAATCTGAAAGTAAGGACATTGTGGTTGGAGAGCCCTATTCTTATGGATTACTTGAAAGAGAATCTTGAGTCCTCTTCTTCTGGGGTGCCAGTAGGAATTGTGGGGGACAATATCAAAAATCTCTTTTCTGAATTTTTTATTTTTTGAGTTGGAGTTTCACTCTGTCACCCAGGCTGAGGTGCGGTGGCATGCACATGGTCACCGCATCCTCGACCTGCTGGGCTCAGGTGATCCTTCCACCTCAGTCTTCCAAGTAGCTGGAACTACAAGCATGTACCACCATGCCCAGTTAATTTTTTGATTTATTGTAGAGATGAGGTCTCGCCAAATTGCCCAGGCTGGTCTCCAACACAAGGACTCAGGCAATCTTCTCACCTTGACCACCCAAAGTGCTGGGATTATAGGCATGAGCCACCATGCCTGGCCTCAGAATTCTTATATTCAGTTACGGGATGACTCAGTAGTAATCTGTGTATGCTGAAGACCAAAACAGTATGCTGCCGTCTCAGTAGATGCCAGCATGGATAGATGGCAGAAAAAATTCAGGTACTCACATGCCCCAACCTTACTCCTACATAGTGATCCAGAATTAGATACACCTCCAGAAGCAAGAGAGCAGAAAATCCTTGAATTTGAAGGACAGAGTAGAGCTCAAAATAGACAGTGAGTTATATAAAATAAAAGAAATTATTTTTCTTGAGCAAACTTAAGTTTATTGCTAAATATACAGTGCATATATATATAGATGATATATATGTTTTTAAATAACCTTTCATTGAAGTATTAAATATATGACATATAATGCATTTGGCTTATTTTACTCAGCATTATGTTTGTGAGATTTGTCCACGTAGTTGAGTTGAGTGTAGTTTCTTCCTTCTCCTTGCTCCTTGGTATTCTATTGCATGAATAGACCATTGTTTAGATAGTCACTCCCATTCTATTATTTTTGATGGATACTTAAGTTGTTTCCAATTTGAGGCTACTATGAAAAGTATTGCTATGTACATTCTTAAATGCTATTTAATGTTTAAATACATTTATCTTGCTTATATACCTAGCAGAGAAATGACTAGATCATAGTGTGTGTATATACTCAGCTTTAGTAGATGGGTCACATTCTTTTCCAAAATGGTTGTGCTAGTTTACGCTCCTATCAGCAATTGAAGAGAATTCTACTTGTTTTCACATATTTATTAACACTGGTTATTGACATAGTTTTAATTTAATTTTAGTTATTTTAGAAGGTATGCCTGTGCTTTTAGTTTGCATTTCCCTGATGATTAAAGCAGGTGAGCATCTTTTCATGTGTTAATAGGCCATTTTAATCTTATTCTGTGGAGTGCATGTTCACGTCTTTTACTCATTTTCTACTGGGTTCTCTTTCCTTTTCTTTTAGATTTGCAGGAATCTTTTTATAGATTCCAGACACAAGACTACACACACACACACACACACACACACACACACACACACACGGTTTGCTTTTTCACAACTGTAATTGGATCACTGAAAAAAGGGAAATTCATATTTTATTGTATATTGTATTTCAGTCTATCATTTCTTTTCTTTTCATCTTCTTCAATGTTTTCTTGGTTATTCATGGCTCTTTGTATCTCCATATACATTTTACAGCCAGCTTGTCAATTTCCATAAAAAACTTGCTGGTGCTGAGATTGCTTTGAATCCAAATTTTAGAAAGATCTTTCTTAGGAAGCCACATTTAGACATAGAACCAAGGAAATAGAAGGAGAAAGTTATGTAAGAAGTGGGGGTGGGGTGGGGGGGAGAAGCAATGGAGACTTTTCTAGGGCAAAGAGAACATCATGCACAAAGATCCATAGTATAGAAAGGTGTAGCAAAGTCAAGAAACTGAAAGGTGATTGGTGTGGCAGAAGAAAAGGGATTGAGATGATGATGACATGTAGGTCCAAGCCCAGATCCTACAGTCTTGAAAGTTATTGTGAGCAGTTTAGATACACAGTGATCAGCAGAAACTTAGAGACTGTAGCTTTGTTTGCTTTACATGCTTGTTATTAAAATGCTTTTTGCTGAAATAAGATTTGACTTTGGCATTTAGTCAACTACATAAAAAAAAGTTGATCTAACAAAAGCCCTTAGAAATTCACAAATCTATAATTTGATTCTCTTTGACCAAAAACAAAAGTATAGCGTACATTTTGTTTGACTCAAACTTGGGCTGAATACATTTGACTCAAACTCGGGCTGAATACATTCATGGGTACTTTCTGAATCCATTTTACTCCCACAATTCTCTGTATTGGAACTCAGCACACTAAAATGTTTCTTTGAAAAATAAGCACAAATGTCCTAAACATGACTCAGTATATGTTCACTTCATATTTACTTTCATTTTTCTTTGTTCATCAGGAAGAGTCACAAAAGAGATGAGTCAACTGCAAATGCAGGAGAGTGAATCTGTGCTCATTATCCTCAAGCATCCATGGAAACACTTGTAGCTTAGAACTCTTATCAAAAAGTCTTTTGTTATTTCAAGAGCAGCACTAACACACACAATGACTACACATTTTTGAATGCTTCAAAGAATCTTTGCTTTTCTCTAGAAAGAATGGACCTACCTTGGCAATTGCACACCACTCCACGTGCTTTCCAAGCAGGTTCAAGCTGTTACATTCATGTCAAGTTGGGCAACCTTGACAAAAACTCTGTCTTTATCAAAACAATTGTACATGGTTCTAGAAAGTAAATCCTTGTTACTTTG